TGAGCAAGGGAAATAGTCATGCGAGCCTGACCACCAGATCCCGGGGTTATTTTTTAATTCTTTTTTTCTTTCTATCTTTGGGTTGGAACATGATTCACAAACACATGGTCAATTTATAATCGGAATCGTACAAATGATGTAATTATCATTGACAATATAGAAAGATCGGGTCGGTTTTCCAAAGAGATTATAAAAACATATCAAAGCTAACAATCTATAGACAGTTGTCATAATACAACTGAGTCCCCAAACTATTTGCACTGCGTTCTAATAGTCCAGTGTATGAACCCCTGCGACATAATAACACCAAGTTACAAAATAACACGGTCATGAAATTGATATATCGCCGTTGTGCAATTTTCTATTAAGTGTAATGTGTACTTGATGTTTAAAGTTATTTGATGAATGTTCAGTTTGCATGTTAGTGGTCTGTTGCTGCACAATACTGCCCGTGTTATTTGCCAGTAATTATATTGTGTATGTCGTTTGTGAATGATCAATGCCTGCTTCCGCTTCCTTACCAGGAAATGAGCTCGTCGACTAAACTTCAATATACAAAGATACATCTATAGTTGTTTCTGCCCATTCGTTAATGCGGAACATATGAAGTACCTGCCAAAGGCTTACTCTACTCGGCACAATATGGTCAAATATCAAGCTCTCTTCGTGTACTAAACTTGGTCTCATGACAAAATTATGTAACTATTGTAGTATTATGGTCAAATGTGTTAAATACTCTAGCAAACCCTCCCTGCCATCATGTGAAAATATGTTTTCTGTAAGTTTCATTTGTATCTCACATGCCGAGTATATCGGCCTGAGCAAAATACAGTTATGTACTGTACTGTACTGTACTGTTCTGTTCTGTTCTGTACTGTACTGTTCTGTTCTGTACTGTACTGTACTGTACTGTACTGTACTGTTATGCTCAATGCTAGACTCCGACCAGCTGTCTTCCATGTCTAATACCATCTTCAATCAGTGCCAACTATATCATTGCTTTCCCTTTGTCCACTACCAATCGATGTGTATGACCTATCAGTACGTGTTCCACCTGGATTTACTCCTGCCTTCCATTTACCAATTGCTATTACTAATCAGCGCCAATTACCTACTGGCGTCTCTAGTTAAGTGTCAGCCTTTGGTAATATCTTATCACTGTCAAAGGATTAATTTATCAGTATCAAATTAGAAGCTGACACCACATTTAAACCAATCAGAATCTAGTTTCCTGCAGGGAAACGTCCCTGTAAACCGTAATTCCATGAATATCTTCCACTACGGAATTTTCCTTCGACCCGGATTCGATGGCATAGCCAAGAGTTCGAGTTCGATTCCCGACACCGTCACACTATGTGAACCTCATTTTTAGCTCCTTGCAGTAATGATGCGATTACATTACCAAAGCAACGTAAACCACACTCACTCAAATCACTTCAACCGATGTCCTCCTGGGTCACAGACTACTAAACAAATGATCTTCCAAAGATTGTTTCATTTTCTCGAGTTTCTTTCCACTTTCATTTTCTAGCAAAATTGCATTAAACAATCTAATTTTCAATAAATCCTGCTTTCCAATGGATTCAAATGAAATCAATCCAGTTCAGGATACTTAAGCTCTACATCACGACCGACTAAGCCGGGTCGCACAGCAGTTGTATCTCAAAGAGGCTGTAGGGAGCCTGCTGAAACAAGATCAAAGCAAGCAATTCACATCGGTAATGGTATTGAAAGAAAACGATGACGTTCAAATTGTTTGCGAGAGAAGACATTGTTACGCTAAACTCAAAGCTAAGGGAACTGTACATAATTAGTTTAAAAAGCAACAAATACATAAAACATCAGTATGATACATCGTGTATCTTGTTCGTTATTGCTTGTGCTCCCCCTTAATAATGTATTTGGGTTAATGGGAGTTTCGTTTAATGTCGCTTTTAAGTGTTGATATAGTCTCTGAATCTACAAACGTCAGCATATATTTTCTTAATTAAAGATTAATTGCAAGCGACTATGCTCCCGAGGTGTCGTTAATGCTTGTTTGTTTGTTGTTTTACGCCGCACAGCAATATTCCAGCTATAAGGCGGCGGTCTGTAAATAGGCCAGTCTGTACCAGATAATCCAGTGATCAACAGCAAGAGTATCAGTCCACGCAATTGGGAACCGACATGTGTCAACCAGGTCAGCGAGTCTGACCACTCGATCCCGTTAGTCGCCTCTTAAGTATGAGTGGCTGAAGACAAATTCTAACCCGGATCATCATGGATGGTTAATGATGGTACGTGATCAAGTAAAATATCGTCAAAACTGTATGAAGTTGTAATGAAGCCAAGCTAAAGATGACAGTGTGTATTGCACAAGGGTGATAATGTGGAAGTGGTGTGGCTGTCCCGACGTACCCTTTGTAGATTCTGAAAGGAACTGGTATGGCATACGACAATGGTCAGGTTATGTGCACTGGTTTGTAGCGTCTCAATGTTTGACGAACCGCATCGTTGTTTGCAACATCACTCGTTCATGTGGGTAGAATAAGGCCACACACAAGCAGTGTTACATAAGGCACTGAAGCCAACGCCTATTCTCCTGAACATATCGTACCTCGGAGTCTATCCTGCCTATATCAGGTTTGACCTTCATGGCCCCTACAGACACTTTTACAGGCACTGATGTCCACCCGACGTCTGTCTCGAACAGATACTTCTCAGAAGGTATTGTTCTGAAGAAATGCGCTTATAAATATGTATACATAGAGATAATCACGAGTGTAGACTGATGCCATCCATGACTTCTATCAAAAATAATCATCATATCTCACGAACGGTACTTACATTGCAGGGTCAGCAGTTGTTAGCACGGAAAGTAGTACATCACCTGGGCTGAAGTATCAACACTTATACTTCCATTTAAGTTGAGAATGAGATCTGCTCGAGTTGTAAAATATAGAACCCGTACTCGCAGAGTTATCTCCCTTGTTCGTTTTAATTGTCTCCCTTTTTTTAGCAACAATAATGGCCACAGAAACGATGAATGCACTTTAACTCTATTCTCCCGTGTGGGGGCGGTGGGGCAGCCTAATGGTTAAAGCGTTGGCTCGTCACGCCGAAGGCCCGGGTTCGAATCCCCACATGGGTACAATGTGTGAAGCCCATTTCTGGTGTCCCCCGCCTTGATGTTGCTGGAATATTGCTAAAAGCGGCGTAAAACCAAAGTCAGTCAGTCAGTCTCCCGTGTGTCAACAATGAAGAACCTCCTGAATACACACGGAGTACTTCCACCACATCCTCCCTTCCAGATGTTGTTCAGATAATCGCGTTGCTTGGCTTTAGACAACCAGTAGATTCTATTTGATGTTTAAAGTTGTCTGAAATTTGGTTAACAACTGGTATCAGCTGTGATACTTTACGCTTAAAACAAAAAACAGATTTGATCGTTGTAAGTGAGTGAGTGAGTATGGTTTTACTTTGCTTTTAGCAATATTCCCGTAATATCACGGCGTGCTTCACCCATTGTACCCATGTGGGGAATCGAACCCGGGTCTTAGGCGTGACGAGCGGACGCTTTAACCACTGGGCTACCCCACCGCCGATCGTTGAAAAAGTATGGAGAAAAGAAGCATAATTCACAATAAAAGTCAGAGCTACATTGCTACGTTTTATGGTCATCATTTCGGTGATATTTGGGTAATCCAATTTTTTTCAAAACACACACACTTTTGTCAAATATATTTTGTAGGATTTTTTATGTTTTATTCAGCCTCAAAATAAATATAAATAACACATTATAAATAACACATTGTAGCGCCCGAAAGCGCGACTTGCAAACAAAGTACAGTATTTGGAAGATACGTTTAACACTATACGCAGTGGAAAATGTCATATGTGTCATGATTCTCTGCTTTAAACTGAGTAAAGGTTGGGTAACTGTTAGAAAAGAACGATTTTTCTATCATAGAATGTGCATTATCATTCCCGGAACGGTTTTTTTATATGCATGCAAAGTATTTAACAAATGTTTGGGTCAACAACAAAATCCTAATTTTAAAAGGACATAACTTATGGGAAACACTGTTCTTTAAGGATCATAAATTCGGCCATCATGTTACGCGCGGGAACTCGAAAACAGATTTTGGTACCCTAGCCTAACCTTTTTTCTATAGGTATCTGTAAATGACGAAAACAGTTTTTATTCACTGGAGTTAACCTGAAGAGATCAAGAATTAATACATATATATATCATTTCACTATACTTTTATACTTCTAATTGACAGGTTCAATTTGCTCCTTTCCTCGTTTCTTGTTTAGATACATTACATAGGCAGGTTCTCGAGTCTTCAAGTAAAACATACCTATATATCAAGATTTATGTAAATATGTGGAATGTTCAGAGAGTCCGTGACAGAAGATTATTTAGTTATGAAAAATACATTCAATTTTCAGGCAGTGTGTTGAAAGCCTATTGATGTTTCTAAGGTCCGACCTCATTCTTAAACACAGATTGTAAAAGATGGTGAATCATATAAATAACATTTTTCAAATTTTGTCCAGTTTATCCAGCAGTTGTTGTAAGGATGAGCTAATGACGTCAATGCAAACATTTTAACCCCTACGCTCCCCAGGGAGCTGAGAAAGAAATATGAATGCATATGTAACGTTATCGTGCAATTTGAACATGTTCCTTGGTGTTGCAAATTGCTGTAAATGTGAATAATTAACTTATCTTAATGAATTGTGTGCGTCTCTATTTTTGTATTAGAAATGGAATGTTTGGGGGTTATTTGGGTAGACGTTGGTACCCTCCCCACAGCACCCACGCCCCCACTCTGCATCCCGTCACGCGCTGTTCTTGAGGACCCGTGAAGATCCGGGTTACAATTGGTCTTCAGTAACCCATGCTTGTCGTAAGAGGCGACTAACGGGATCGGGTGGTCAGGCTCGCTGGCTTGGTTGACACATGTCATCGTATCCCAATTGCGTAGATCATGCTGTTGATCACTGGATTGTCTGGTCCAGGCTCGATTATTTACAGCCCGCCGCCATATAGCTGGAATATTGCTGAGTGCGACGAAAACTAAACTCACTCACTCACTATTCTTGAGGCTACAATATTGCTGTTTGTTGTATTAAACAAGAAGAAAAATAACATATAGGTCTACTCCTTCATGGGAACTAGGGGTTCGTCGTTCTCTTCCTTGGGAGGAGCTGTCGGTTCATTAACGTCAGTCACATTTGCAAACACGTGTTGTTTCGAGTCACCATCATCCGTCTTTTGGTTAACTGACGTGGATGCCCCGTTCATTCCTACTCTCGAACCGTTCCTGCTGCGCGTACGGTTGGACAGCAATGGCGCTTTTTCGTCCACAGGGTCTGGTTCCTCTTGATATTCAGGTGGTGGGTCTTCTATGTCTCTGTTAATCGATCCATAGTGAGGTTGCAGCAGCTCTCGTCTGTTTTCTGAGCTCTGTCGCACGCCATAGCCGAAGTAAATAGCGAAACCTGGAACAATCGAGAGAGTGAGACGGGTTAAATGTTGCGTGTAACAGTACTACCGTAAAGCAGGTATGAGAAGTACACCCCGTTAGAGATTGAGTGAGAGAGAGCCTGAGGCCGGTGGTTTTACACCGCTTTAAGCAATATTCTAGCCAGCTTCAGCAATATTCTAGCAATATCACTGCGGGGGACACCAGCAATGGGCTTCACACATTTAATTGTACCCATGTGGGAAATCGAACCCGGGTCTTTGGTGTGACGAGCGAACGCTTTAACGACAAGGCTACCCCACCGCCCCTTTGAGCAATAATGAAACTGGAGTCACAAGAACTGGGCTCCACAAATAGTACACATTTTGGAATGGAATTTCGACAGTAGACAATTCGAACGGCAGGGCGAGTGAGTGAGTGGAGATTTTACGTTGCATCGGCATTATGTCAGCCATATTGCGAGGGGGCCGTTCCAACCACTCGTCTACCTTAATGGCCATTTTATTTCTCAAACCCACGTGCACTATGGTGAACAACAAACAGAAAAGTAATGGTTGGAATGTGGCACGCCAAATAATGATCATTGAGAGAGAGAGAGAGAGAGAGAGAGAGAGAGAGAGAGGAGAGGGAGGGGAGAGAGGCACGCACACGCACGCAAGCGCGCGCACACACACACACACACACACACACTGGATCCGCCAGTGCTTACGGACACTGAAGTTTTTGTTTGAAGTCTATCCACAACATTGCTGGTAGAAATTATCTGTGACATTAAATCGTGCACGAGACATAATAGCCGACGCATTTGCTGCTTTGGTGAACGCAGTGTGAGAGGGAGAGTTTAGTTTTAGGCTTCACTCAGCAATATTCGAGCTATATGGCGGCGGTCTGTAAATAATCGAGTCCGGACAAGACAATCCAATGATCAACACCACGAGCAAACAATCCAGTGATCAGGAGCATGGTCATCGATTTCCGAAACTGGGATAGTATGACATGTGTCAACCAAGTCATCGAGCCTGACCGCCTGATCGCGTTAGACGCCTCTTAAGACAAGCATGGGTTGCTGAAGACAAATTCTAACCCGGCCGTTCACGGGTGACAGATTCAAGAAAGTCCAAATAAGGGACTGGTTTAGATCTTAACAATGTAGAAGCAACCTAACGCTACATTGTAAGTAATGGACTAATATTTCGAAAAGGAAGATGCGTCATGCCTGTTTAAGAGTGAGTGAGTGAGTGAGTTGGGTTTTACGCCGCTTTTAGCAATATTCCAGTAATATCACGGCGGGGAACACCAGGAATGGACTTCACACATTATGCCCATGTGGCCTGTTTAAGACGGGTTTTATTCTGTATTGTTAAAGAAAACGATAAAACCATTTATGAAGTAAAAATAGGAAATTGTAAACAGAATGATTAGATGACGACAATGTCGCCTTGCCCACATACCCCCATAATCAGGTTGTAATAGTCAATTTTCTTTTAAAAAAAGAATTCAAAACACAGATTTTGTCTGGTTTATGCAACAGTTGACGAAAACAGACAATCATGTCGTTGTATGCTGATGTTAATTACCGCACTCCTGATCAAACATGGTCCGACTGATCATTACTGTCATATTCAACAGTTGATGTCGTCCTTTATTCACCGACATGTTTTTGTCATCACGAAATGGCTTGAATGGAACGCCACAATTAATCAGTGTGACCTTTCTGATTACAAGAGCTTATGGCAAGCTGTGACAGAACGGGGTGAGGTGGGCGGTGTTGACGAGGAAGGTTGGCTGAGGGGAAGGGTGGGTGGATGATAAAAGGATTGTTGCTCTGTCCTCATCACATGCTCTGAGATATATATTTTAGAGATGGTTGATGAAGTGTGGATGCCTTTTTATGTCTGATCTGACAGTCCGAGCCCAACAAACAAAACATAACGCTTCTTAGTGAGGGGGTAGCCCAGTGGTTAAAGCGTTGGCTCGTCACCTAGGTTCGCTTTCCAACATGGGTACAATGTGTGAAGCCCATTTCTAGAGTCCCCGCCGCGATATTGCTGAAAGCGGCGTAAAACCATATTTACTCACTCACTCTCTTTTTTTAAAGAAAACCTGGAACTATCAAAAAGCACCAGTTCCGCTCAAGATAAATCTACCCATGTAGAGAACGGGGAGTAATTACAATAACCCTTACTCCATCAGTATGATACAGCAGTGTCATACATTTACTCCCATTTTCTCTGGGGAATTTCATCTTTGACCAGAAACAGTTCTCCACTATGTTTTACGACACTTATTGTTCACCTACTGAGGTCTCATAGCACTTAGTGAAACCATCAATCGTCAGAACAATCGCGAACCAGCAATCTAATAATTGCTTTGTTAAAAACAAGGAAGAAATTATCAGTTACTGAGATCCATTTGAATAAACAATGAGTGCTATGACTCTGATATATTACCGATTCATTCTGGTTCATAACTGTAATGTCACGTGTTATACAGTACAACCAGAAATTATTCAGAATTTAAGATTGTAATTTTTTTTTTTTTCGCTCATTACTCAAGTATTAAATGTGAATATTAGCAGAACATAACTCCAGATTCAAAGACAGGTGAACAGTTAGTATTTTGTCAAGTCACCATGGCCAGCAATGCAGGCTTCAATGTGGCGGGGCATACTACTGATCAAAGAAGTTAGAAAGTCGTGGTCCATGCTGTCCCAATATCGGACCACCTCTTCTTTCATTTCAGCAATATTTGTCAGATTTTTCTTATTGACACTTTCCTTCATAAGTCCCCAAACATTTTCTATTGGATTTAGGTCAGGGCTATAGCTTGGCCAATCTAATAATGTCATATTTTGGGTCCGAAACCAGGCCTGTGAATGCTTTGAACGATGTTTTGGGTCGTTGTCCTGCTGGAAAATCAAAAAAATTTCCATAGAACACGTGAGCAGATGGAAGTAAATGTCCCTCGTGAATATCTGTGTACCGCTCACTGTTCATATTCCCTTCAAATACACAGAGGGGCGTTGCCCCTAACACAGGTATGCCACCCACACGTTAAATTTCGGACTGTACTTTGGGCGCTGATACAAAGGTTTTTCAGTTTGTTTGGTCCAGAATTTCAGTGTATTAGGAAACAGCCACACAGAACTTTCATCTGAGAAAATCACATTGTCCCAGTTAAAATTTCTATGCTGTAAGCACCAGTTCAACCTTCGCTCCTTTTGTTCAGGTTTCATTATCGGTGATGGAATTCCTCGACTTTTCTGCCATTGCATGCAGCTCAGTTCTAATTGTCTCCTTACAGACAGCCACAGTTCCTCTATCAATCATATCCAGCCTTAAGGTTTCTAAACTCCTTCGTTTGTTTTTAGAAACAAGAATACCAAGCCGCCTCCTGTCACCGACAGTCAATTTTCTGGGCCTACCTGCGCCTGCCTGGTGCTCAATGCCATATCCATTTGCAATATTTTTCAAAACACGATAAACAGTGGACAAAGGGATGCCTGTTCTACTTGAAATCACTTTAGCTGATCTGATGTCCTTGTTATAATACTCTAAAATCAACTTCCTCTTCTCTAAATCATCCATACTGAGGATCACTGAAAATGTCGTCTGCTAGCAAGTAAACAAAGGGGGATAACTCTTCACAAACTAATGAAAAAGGATTAACGGAGTTCTCTCTCTTGAATGAAACCAAGCACTTGATAGCTGGTCAAGGTTGTTTATACTAGAAATCCAATTAAACATATTCCTAAAATTCTCAATAATTTCTGGTCATACTATATATCAAAGGTTGGTGGATAATGAATCGTTTTATCTCGAAGTCCATGAAATAAATCACAGACCATTAAATAACTCTCACCTCAAATAGCAGTAAGAGCAAGTTCATCTTTAAAAACATTTTGAATTCATGAAGTTTTGTACTTATTAAACCAAGTGTACCAATATATATAATAATATTTAAATACTGTAAACATCGTAACAGTGGCAATTAAAACACGGCTGGTGTTTAAATCACATTGGGGGCGGCATTATTCAGGATATGTGTCGCGTTTTGTACACAGTCGAGGCGGGACAAGAAATTCCAGTGATATCATGAGCATTGATTTGCGCAAAGACAATTACACCTATTTTAGCCGGATCTTCTTGGGTCAAGGATACGAGGACTTGCATCAACCAAGAACAAGAGAACTTTTACGCGGAAGTTTCTAAAATAGATGTAAGTAGACACGGCTCAAGGCGAAATTGCTGGAGAGCGCCATTGCCATAGATTGTTAACGAGACACTTTGATAGGCACGAGCCGATTTATGAAATAATAGGGGCATTAACCTTGATTTATTTTCCAGTCAATACAACAAACCCATTACCCTGATCCCGTCTTGTAAAGTGGTACAATCACGTACACTTACATTGAGCAGGTTCAACTAACTGTATAAGGTTCAGACTGTTATAGACAGCTCGACAAAACACAAGACCCTGTATCACATAGTAATTTCTTTTATCATGTTTTGCTGCTGATTTCGTCAGACTGAATTAATTGCCCGACGCTGGACTGTCTGTAGAAACTACCAGATCAATATAATATGTCTCGGGTAACTTTATGTTTACCATATGTCAGAAGGATCACAGCGTCATGTCACTGGTGTGTTTCCTTGGATCTTCCAGATTAATATCGTGTGACTCGTGTAACTATTTACCCTTATTTCAGAGGGAAATAACAGTGTTATATCACACGTTCCTGTCACAGCAGACCCGTGAAGATCGGGGTCAGGAACCCATGCTTGTCGTAGGAGGCGACTAACGGGATCGGGTGGTCACGCTCGCTGACTTGGTTGACACACGTCATCGTATCCCAATTGCGTAGATCGATGCTCATGCCGTTGATCACATGGATTGTCTGGTCCAGACTCGATTATTTACAGACCGCCGCTATATAGCTGGAAAGTTGGATTATTGCTGAGTGCGGCGTAAAACCAAACTTACACGATACCTCTGTCACAGTAACATTGCTGATTGCGGCCTTAAACAAATTGGTCAAACAAACAAATCTTCTGGTCAATGATGCCTGTTTTGTAGAAGGTCATATCCTCATCTGCCAACCATTTGTCAACAGCAGTACTAAACTCTTTGTCGTCCCATCACTGACGATGCAAGTGGTGCTTTTTCAAATGCAAAAACAGGTCTCCAGGGACCACTGATGAATAGAGTGCAAATTTCCAATCGGCATTCCCGTTGGCACAACATGAGTGTCATATCCTGATCTACCAACCGTTTATCAACAGCAGTACTTAATTCTTTGCTATCCCATCAGTGGCCATGCAAGTGGTGTTTTTTTTCAAATGCGAAAACAGTTGAAGTCTCAAGGGTGAATAGAGTGCATAAGTTCCAATCGGCGTTCCTGTTGGCACCAGTATAACATGACTGATTTGAACTGTCGTTGTCATGATGGAGTTCATCACGCCGCCGATGCCGCAACGCTGTTCTCTGATAGACAATCAAGTGTTTATACTTCTGGGCTTCAGAGACCGGATGCGTGTCCATACCATGGATTCTGCCCTCGGGATCATCGTGGTTGATCTCCATGCCATGAATTGGCGCTCTCCTAAAACACAAAACATCTCTGTAGCCATTATGGATGATCCTCGTGGGACACAAGTTGCCATCATGTTATCCTCCAAAAAGGATATAACCGTCCTCGTATATTTTAGGTGGTTTCGGGGACCCAAAATGATTGCCACTCCACGGATTCTTGTTTCCTTGTGGCATCGTCGTGCTTGACCTACGAATCATGAATTGACAATCCTAAACTTACATCTTCAAGGTTCGATTTTGAATGATTCAAGGAACCAATTTTTCATCCTGTGTCGTCATACTGGCAAACAAGGATAAGTTGGACCGGCGCAGAACGCGTTTACGAGAAGTAGGCGGTGCACGGCAATGAGGAAACCCATTTGGTTTGTGAAAGGTAGAACAGATGTAGGCTAGTGTTCGTGCATTGCATGACGATGAAATTGATTCCGCGCGAAGCTGAACACGCCTTGCGTCTCCCATCGCACTACACTTGATCGCGGACAACCAGGGGCACCTTCGGCTAATAATGGCAAGCGCCAGTGGGCGGCTCTCATACATGCTAATACGGGTCAATTGTCAGGTCGGTGCTCAACTTATCCTTGTTTGCCAGTAGGAACCAATCAGACACAAACCTTGCACTATTTAATTGTTCGTGAAGGATTGTTTCCATTGATCAGAGAGGTACGTGATACATGCCACTCATGGAGTGTAATCGTCCGATGTTTAGTACCACGTTGTGAACAACAGCAAGAGTTTCTTTTGCGGTGTTGGTGTTGGGCGGCAAGGGCGGCGTTCATCTTCCGAAAAAGGATTGGTTTGTTAGTTAACGCCACACTCACTAATATTCCAGGTGCATGGCGGCGGTGTGTAAATAATCGAGTCTGGACCAGACAATCCAGTGATCAACAGCATGAGCACCGATCTAACCAATTTGGATACGATGACATGTGTCTGTCAAGTCAACGAGCCTGACACCCCGATCCCGTTAGTCATGGGTTGCTGAAGACCAATTCTAACCCCGATCTTCACGGGTACTTTGAGAAAAGGACAACCGGCGAAGAAAAGTTCTCTGCATTGCTAATGTAGCAGGGAGTGGAGTCATCCCTCTGATGATTTCCTTTTCGTGTGCGCTTGCAGACTAGCTTATCCTCTTTGGTCATGTGGGCAAGGCGTTCGGCCACGAATCAGAAGGTTCGTTGTTCGTCTCATCACGGGGAAAGTTTCCGGCCGTTACAGTGATATTGAACAATACATTGCAGACATTTTCCAGAAACCGCTAGACATACATTTAGACCAAGAAATAATATCATTTCATTTAATAATATGTACCCACAAAATATAAAGGGAAATGGTAATAGTTTCGAAACAATGCTTAATTCCAGGCAATCTGGACACTGGGGGTTACTCACTGAAGGATATTGAGTGAGTGAGTTTAGTTTTACGAGGCTTTTAGCAATACTAGTATTCCAGCAATGTCCCGGCAGGGGAGACCAGAAATGGACTTCACACATTGTACCCATCTGGGAATCGAACCTGGGTCTACGGCGTGACGAGCGAACGCTTTAACCACTAGGCTACCCCACCGCCCCCTTTTTGAAGGATATTGAATTATGACAACTTTATAGACGGTCTGGTTATGAGACATAAAACTGGACAGGAAAACATGTACAAAACTGACGAGAGTCAATATAACTGTCTACCTAAAAACATGTTACCCATCGAGAACGAGTCTCAACTTCATGTTAAACAATCATAGAAGTCACACGTTCCATTATAATAAACCCAGATAATCGATGGGAGGTTGTCGCTGTCATGATAGATTTGTGTCAGCAAAGTTGCTAAAATATTATCGAAAAAGGAAACCTCGTCATGGGCCTTCTGTGAGTAACGAAGACCCTATTACTGCCACAAAGGCCTTACAATTATTGTTTACGTTGATTATACATGTGCAAGTATTATTTTCTGTTTCGAAAGTACACACGATAACGTCAGATTTTTCACTCGGGGTGAATTTACCCCATACAGAATTTAAGGAAGTGAGAATTCTTTTTTTTCAGTCTTAAGAAACAAGTCCTTCGTTTACCAAATGGAATCATATCAATATATCAATAACTATTACTGTTTTATACATTTGTTTGTAGTTTTACAGCTTGATTTAGAAAACCACAGCTTTTTGGTAGTTTTATGAAAGTCCTTGCCATAACAAAACCTCGCTGCACGGAACTCTTGAAATGACAGTGGTTGTACCCTTAAAGTGCAACTATTGTATTAAAACTCAGGAACAACATAGAACTAAAAGTGCAGCGCTTCTCCGTTTTCACGTCCGGAACGTCATGTGTACTGAGGTATAATGAATGTCGTAACGCAATTCCTAATTCAATTTAGAGACGTCGAATCTAACATCATCATTACCATGGTTCGTTTTGGAAAAAAGGTTCCTTTCGTAGTAGATTTCCGAATCCGGATTTTTTTATCACCTGAATTATGAGATGAACATATTCACAGACATACGCAAAAGGTCGTTTTGACACCTAAAGCCAACGGCTATTAGGTTTTTCCTGTGAAAAACAACTTCGTGTCTCAAATTTCTTTATTCTATTTGCACGACGTGATTATCTCTCATAACCTTTAAAACACATCGACAACTCAGCCCGAGGCAACACATTTCTGGAAATGAAACCAATCTCGAACCGTAAAGTGTAGCCTTGATAAGGGCTAATCGACGACTCCAAAGAAAGAAATGGTATCTAAAATGATTTTGTTTGTATCATGAAACTTGTGTATGTTTTTGGTGGCCCCGACTGCACTCAGGTTCGTCTTTTTATTTTCTAGTACTAGTCTACAGGTCAGAGTTAACTTCAGTCTACTCCACGGGTCAGACTAAACTTCAGCCTACACTAAAGGTCAGGGTACACTTCAGCCTACACAAATGGTCAGGGTACACTTCAGCCTACACTTAAGGTCAGGGTACACTTCAGCCTACACTAAAGGTCAGGGTACACTTCAGCCTACACTAAAGGTCGGGGTACACTTCAGCCTACACTAAAGGTCACGGCATCCTTCAGCCTACACTAAAGGTCAGGGCATCCTTCAGCCTACACTAAAAGTCAGGGTATACTTCAGCCTACACTTAAGGTCAGGGTATACTTCAGCCTACACTAAAGGTCAGGGTACACTTCAGCCTACACTGAAGGTCAGGGCATCCTTCAGCCTATACTTAAGGTCGGGGTATACTTCAGCCTAACACTAACGGACTGGGTAAACGTTAGCCTTCACTGAAGGTCAGGGTAACTTCTGATTATCTACTCTAAAGGTCAGGGTAAACGCTAGCCTACACTGAAGGTCAAGATAAACTTTAGCCTACTCTACTCAAAGGTCAGGCTAAATTTCAGCCAACATTTAAGGTCAGGATTAACTTAAGTCTACACGAACAGTTAGGTAAAATTTTGCCTATTCTCACTAAAGGTCAAGCGAAACTTTACCTACACTACTGGAATGGTCGGGGTAAGCTTTACAATACACTACACTAAAGGTCAAGCTAAACTTTACCTACACTACTGGAATGGTCGGGGTAAGCTTTACAATACACTACACTAAAGGTCAAGCTAAACTTTACCTACACTACTGGAATGGTCGGGGTAAGCTTTACAATATACTACACTAAAGGTCAAGCTAAACTTTACCTACACTACTGGAATGGTCGGGGTAAGCTTTACAATACACTACACTAAAGGTCAAGCTAAACTTTACCTACACTACTGGAATGGTCGGGGTAAACTTTACAATACACTACACTAAAGGTCAAGCTAAACTTTACCTACACTACTGGAATGGTCGGGGTAAACTTTACAATACACTACACTAAAGGTCATGCTAAACTTTACCTACACTACTGGAATGGTCGGGGTAAACTTTACAATACACTACACTAAAGGTCATGCTAAACTTTACCTACACTACTGGAATGGTCGGGGTAAACTTTACAATACACTACACTAAAGGTCAAGCTAAACTTTACCTACACTACTGGAATGGTCGGGGTAAGCTTCAGCCCATTATACTCTAGAGGTCAGGCTAGACTTAAGCCTACACTAAAAGTCAAGGATAAAAATTAATCTATACTAAAG